CTAGTTTGGTTCCTTGAGCAATTTTACTGTTCTCTGACAGAAATGGTTTTGTCTTTGTGTAAACAACGGGAAGGAATGTGCTGATTTTTTTACTGAATAACATTATTGTATCTATTCTCAAGGACATGATGGGTGATGTCCAGGAAGCTTCACCTGCCTGACCGGTTTTAACCACTGCTTCACCGAGCGCGCAGCCTACTGCTGCATCATTCTGCAATTACTAAAAATTTAAGTTTCAAGATAAAAAAATAACAGTCTACTTTTATGAACTAATTGATTTAGAAAATATAATAATTGAACAATTGTAAGCATTCACAGCATATTATGGTTGCTTAAATTGTTCGTTCTTCTGAAGAGAAATTATCAGTAATTTTCAAACTGAATAAAATAAATATTACAAGGATAGACCATACGCCATCATGCAGTGAAAAATTCCACATTTTCACAGTTAGTCATTATTTCGTAACTGCATGATCAGTTACCTCTGCTTTTCTAATTTATTCTACACCCAAATTACATCAAATATATTCATTATATTAAAATCAAATAAAATAAGACCAAAATTCTCCATGGTAAGGACCCACCCAAGTTTCCCCATCTGGTGAAGTACCCAGTGTGCTTTGAGTATTTATCCCATCGACATATGCAAATGCATCGGCAAGATCCAAAACCGCTGCCAAATTGCTACTTGTCTGCTCTTGAAAATTTTTCTCGGCATACTGCTGGAAAGAAATACTTAACATCTTTCACAAAAAATCAAATATATATAAACAGTTTCCTATAATTTCGTTTCAAATATCTTCCGCTAACTCTATCTATTGAGCTTCCATTCTAAAGAAAAGAAAAATTCATTTTGGAAAATTAAGCCATGTATTTAAGTCCATATTTTAGTGGGCATTGCCACTTAAAAAATACAAAAACAAATCAATATCACCAACATTTTCATCATCAAGCACATTCGACTTTAATATTTCCAGCATTCGGTCCTCAATTTTTCCAGTATTTTCTGTATTTTGGATTGAATTGTATTGCAGTACATCCGTTTCACGATACTGTGGACTTGCTTCCTTTTCGTTTTCGTTTAAAGCTTTCTTAATAGGCAGCTCATTATCATTAGTTATTCCATCCAGCGTATTTGATCTATCACCGCTTGGTTTTCGCTGCATAGTGTGCATCCACAATCGATCATTCCGCATGTAATTCTTGAATGGCTGGTCGTGAAATAAATGTGCCTGCACTGGTTGTAGTTGGTTCTAAAATCAAAAAATTACAATTTGGATAACTTCATAACTGAATGCTTGAATAAGAGAAAAGCGAATATTTGAAATCTTTCATTTTTGGTATCGCAACAAAATTCTAATTCGGCTACCTGAATGATCGATTCGATGATCCAGGACGGATCCAAGACAGGTATTTGCCTTCGACGTGCAGAATCAGTAAGATTTGTTTCAGCACCGGTTATTATCTCTGTACAGATATTTAATTGCATATCGTATCCCAAGTGAATTTTCACGCTGAAAAACATTTTAAATAATTACAAATTCGACGTTTATAATTTACAGAACAAATATGTGAAGGAACAAGCTGAACAATAAATGGGCTAAATGAAATTGACATGTTTCGAAAATTAAGTGTGATCATATTTGGAGTGCAACAAAACCACCACTGAAAGATGTTCTGCAATGAATGAATGAAACATTTTAATAAGAAGCTACTCAAGTTGGAATTGCTTTAGTTCTTGACATAAAATTTGAAAACTGAAAAAGAAACTCACTGAGCACCAAATTTGTACAGAACATCAGTGAAAATATCCTTCTCAGCTTCGGGCAACGTACTCAAACCAATAACGTGCCCAGCGAAAATCTGATAAGTTTCATATGTTTCGATGGGTCGATAAAGTGGATGTTTTTCAGCATTCATTATTGCATCTTTTTTAATACACTCTTGCTAAAATTCAAAAATTACGAAATGGAGTCGAACAGAATGAAAATGATGAGAAATATTCCCAACAACATAACCCCTCTTGCAACTAAGTATGGCCTAAATGACTAACTTTTTTGGCAAATAATAGAAGAATCTTATTATTTCATGACACAAAATAAGTTTGGAAATCTTTTCTTTAATTTTTTGTTAGTTCCGTCCAAACTTATACTTAAGCTTATGCACATGGTTAAACTCTAAGAAAATTAACAAAAAAGAAAATATAAGAAAGTGAGAAACGGCTGCGCATAAATATTCAGCCCATTTTATTTTCGTGTCAACTCTTTTTTAAGACAAAGACAAGTTCTATTATTTTTTCAAACTTGGTTCTAGCATATGTCAGAATCAGACCTTAGCAGGAGAAATTCACCACAAAAAACAAAAGGAGAATAAATAATACGAAACAGTAACTACTTATATTCTTGATTAAAATGCGAAAATTACGTACCAGCCAAAACGACGAAACAACATTACCGCAATTGAAATTTGTTGCACTGTCATTGAGCAGACAATCCAGCACTTCACATACCATATAATCAACCCAAATTTTTGTTGTTTGCTCTACCTTGCCTGAAAAATCTCAGTGAGACTGCTATTCATTAATGGGTAGTTACTTATCTCAGCGTAATCGGGTTTAAAAATCCAAACGCATTTAATAGTCTTACTGATTATCATTGTTACCTCCATGACTTTGGATATTAGAAAACAGTTTATCTCGAATTTCTTCTTTCTTAACAACGATGCGAAATGACAATCCAGCGAACAAATAACGGCTATCTTCGCCAGCTTCATCATCACTGCTTACTGGTCTTTCGCAAATAATTTCATCATAATCCAGTTCAGCATTCGCTAACATTCCAGCTGTTTTACCTAACAGCTTAGTTCCTACCTGGAATAACGATGGTCAATTTGGCTCCAAAAGTAATAGTTTTGGAAGTAAAGAATAAAAATAAGTTGACACGGTGAATAAGAAAAATGAATATGATCCCAAATGAGATCTAAAAGATTATGTCTTTTTTAAATAAATGAAACAAAGGTTATAATACTACATAGCCTTGAGAAACTTTATTTCCTTTATTCCACTTATTTAAATAGAACTTGAAGGAGAATTTATTTAAAAAGAACTTAAGTTGAACTTGAAGGAAAAATTCTCAATGAGTGGTTACAACCAGAGGATTCAGGCTTCAAAGTTAGATAGAATGTCAAACAGGAAAAGATCAGCAAAGACAAAAAAATCCATCTCCTTTAGAAATATTTAAAGAAATGTAATAAAACTACTAGCAGTTCTTTAAATGTTTCTAAGGAAGACGTATTTTTTCATGCTAGTAAAACCTGGAGACCAATAATCTTAAAATCCTTGATTAATATCTAAAACCAAATTACTTCAGTGATTTTCAATGTAGTTTTCTTTCTCGCTTCATCGCTGTAATCGAGTCCTTTCGTATTCGCTAAACTTAATTTATGCTGTGAAAGCTCAAAATTGCTTTTTTCTTGTTTGAAAATCAAGTAGTCTGATTCATCCAAAACTATTTGCGCTTTGGCACAATCCAACAACCATTCACATATGACTACTTTCACATTACTGCGTGCTTTTTCCTTGAGCTGCAAAAAAAAAATTTATGAGTAGTGCAAAGAAATATATTTTTACCACTCATGATTAATAACAACGTATTTATTGTCCAGTAGCAAAGAATGTAGCGTACAGTTGCTTTTTTTAAGAAAAATCATAACTACTAGTAATGAGCCATTCCTTTTTTTTGTAAAATTGCAGATATTCCGAATCATCTAGCTTTATCAGATGCTTATGGAATGACTGCTATGACCATACAGAAATAAAAGGAAAATCAATGATATGCAAAATTCATCAAAAAGTGATCTATGTCATTAAAATTATTGAAAGTATTTCGCAGAAGTCCAGCTGAAATCGTTCAGCATTTCAGCACAGAAGTAGATAATTAATCTTAAAAATTTCCAGAATGATAGATTTGATTTTTGTCAAATCGAAATATGAAAAAAATCAAGTTCACCATTCTCTAAGTTTCAGAAGGCCCATTGTCAATATTCAAATAAACTGCATTTATTAGTGCTTGAAAACTAAAAAAAAAACCTGCTTAATCAACTTCCAGTCCAGTCTTTGTGGACCAACCACCACATGAGTAGTATCAGTATATACAAGCTTGTCACGTCGACCCGATCCAACTCTATTAGTAAGCCATTTGTATTTTTTAAAGTTTTCATCCTCTATTCCACACAAATAGATGATACAATTCTTAAACGGAAATGAGAATAATTATATTATTCAAAAATAAAGGAAAATCAATGACATGCAAAATTCATCAAAAAGTGATCTATGTCATTAAAATTATTGAAAGTATTTCGCAGAAGTTCAGCTGAAATCGTTCAGCATTTTAGCACAGAAGCAGATAATTAATCTTAAAAAAGATGAAGGAGTTTCAAGAAAATGACTTTTTCAGAGAAAAAATGCCTACACTCATGAAATCATTGAAGCGAAGAGCATCTAAATCGAAGAGTACAATAGGATCCATTTCCACTGTCGTTCGCTGCGATGGTTTCACTTTCAACGAATCACTGTAAAGATAATAATAAAATTGGGACCAGCAAATAAAGCAAAAAAAAATATCCGTATAAATTATCCGGATCATAAGGACTTTATGGTCATTCAATGCAGCGTCTGACAATATAAAATCCATATGATTGAGTTTGGGTTTTCTGAAAAAGGTTTTATGGCGTCTGATATCAAATGAATTCGTTTATTTCTTTAGAAATCATTTCAAGGTGATCCTTATTTTAAATGATTTGAATTGCTATAAATAATTTTATTCAACATCTTCATCTCCCTATAAACAAACATCGAATATTTTAGAAAATGCAAATAATGAAAAAGGACCTTTCGATGACGGTTGATTTATTTATGTCTGTCGCAGTACTTTCACTTTTCACTATGTGCATCTGTGGAATAGCGCCTGACACTGGTCTATTATCTACAACCAATTCTGTGTACAGTTTATCTTCTGATTTTTTTATTGCAAGCTTTTTGTTTTTCATCGCACTAAATGAATAAGACTATAATAACATCTTGAATTACTTTTAAGAATTGCTTGCTAGTAAAAGGTTAGTAATCACACTTTTACATAAAAAATCTTCCCGTTCTATAGTGAAAAATAAAATTGAAATTGTTTCTTGTCCAAATTGAAATGGAATTACTTTCTGCAACTCTAATTTTATAAAATTACTATCTCTTACTAAAAAAAAAAGCTTAAGAATTATGAAAAAAATAAATCAAACACGTTTGTTGCTGATGAGCTGAGCAATTAATGACACTAATTTCTAGATTTGTAAATGGCTGAAACTGAGTAAGTTGTGAAGCTCGTGGTGTACTACATTCATCAGAATTGATTCTGGTTTCATAAAGCCTTTCAGGAAGACGATATCCCTAAAATTATATAATCGAAGTAATAACTGCTCGCAGCAACGACAAACTTCATTAAGAAATTTGCAGAAAAAAAATCTGTTTTCCAATTTTTTATGAACATACCTGTTCCACACTTTTTCTAACCCATCGCAAACGAACGATTCTGATTTGATTCCAGCCCCATTTTCGAGCCACTTTATATTTCTCACCCGAATTTAAATCAGTTACCAAATGAGTGCAATGATTTTTTTTCATATTTCCTGTATAGACACCGCCATTTGCTTCAATAAGGCGTGAAAGTGTTGAACGATCTTGAGGAGCTATACCTGAGCAGCTTATAACCTGAAATTAGTTGTAATAAGCATGAAAAATTCTTTCGTATTGTTCAGATAATATTGAAGTATTAGCCTGTACGAGTACTCACCTTAATTTTATGTTGTTCTTAATTTGAAAATATATTCGGATTTTGTAATGATACTGATAATGACACATATATATTAATAACATTATTGTATTTGGATCTCCAGTAAATGAAAATTTCGTCCAATCGCAGCTGAAAAATATAAACTTACACATTTAACAAAAATTTGAAGCTTGTGTTCGCTGATATATTGTTCATCCGTATATTTTGCTTCACTAAATGCTTTTGCACTTTTCCATGCAGCAAATATCCAGCTGACCGACATTACTGGAATTGCGTAGTCTACAGCAGTCTGAAAGATGTTTTATAACTATGTTACCAAATTTCCAGGTTTAGGTCATTAAAATAATATTAAGATAGTATATAGAAATGGTTTGACCTTTAGTCCATGACGGCGATCCTATAGCCTAACTCGACGTTTGTAGGAAAGACTCATTAACCCTTTTTTTCGCCATTCTAAATACTAAATCTTCTGAATAATATGACGAACTTACAACAAATTTTTTGGATTCTGTGTCTTGAGAATCAGCAACTAAATGAGTGACTTTTTTTGTAAAAGCTTTAGAAATCGTTCCACCCATCATCTTTACGAGCGAAATTTGGTGCTCCTGAAATAATAAACAAATTAAGTTTATAAAAATAAAGCATTTTACAAATAAATATTAGTGGTACTTGTCCGGCTAAGTTTGAACCATTACCTAATCTTTATACTCAGTTGATAATCAGGTACGTGAATCCATGAAGAAAGAAAATGATCGAAATATGGTAAAGGCAACAGATTACACAAACATAAAGTAAACCCGTGTTTTCATTTCGATTCCACTAAAGCACACAATGGAGTCTTGGAGAGTTGTGGACCAAACAAACGAGTGTCGTTTTGGAAGACGTTCTTTTCTTTTCAGACATGTTATAACTGCTAACGCTCCGTATACCCTGATTTATTTAGATATCATGTGATAAGTTTAGTTAACATATACATGATGAGATAATTACATAGATTTTTTCCGTCCATTTCAATCGCTCCACGGAAATCAAGGTGTCATGATCAAAGCTTTAAGCATGTCTTATTAATGCAAAACTTATAAATTATCTTGCAAAATTTGATTGATTCATGAGAAATACCTGCATTTTAAAGAAATTAAACGGCTAAATACTTTGCCTCTGAAGGCGGGCAGCACACAGAAGTCATCACATTCGAACTTCCGCTCCAGACAATCTTTGCTTGTGATCCATTTTGGATTCAATGATTTTCCCTTCAGCATCTTCAAAGATATTAAATTGCGGTTATAAAGTGTTTCATGAAGGTATAAAAAGAGTTGGAAAAGCCTTATTATAGAGGAAAAATCCTAAGCAAGACAAAGATTATTGCAAAAAAATGCAACTTATAAAATCAGAGCATTGCTATAAGGAACAAGGATTTTTTTAATAACATAAGTTATCAATAGATTCTCAAGTTCACTCTTATTTCAAAAATCAAAAGAATCGATAAGCGCTAAAATCAGTATAAGTCTGAGCCCTATGCAAATGAAGATCACTACACTTATAGGACTGACTGTCATTATTTATGTCACTTACTAGAGATGAATAAAAGCGTAAATCGATCTCTCTTCCTAAAGACGCTCATACTATCTTCTCTTAATCCATGCGCTAGTTACCCGATTGGTAGCTTGGATTATTTAATCCTCATCGACTAAAATATAATAGTGTTATCTGGACAGTTTGATCGCTCATTAATTCCAATTTACAATACTCATAAATTTAGTTAATGGCAGAACTTTCTACTTTGTTTTTGAAAACTATTTCGGAATTAAATTTCAAATGAAGAAAAAACTTCAAAACACCTGTTTCCGATATTGTTTCACTTATTTTCGAAATCGTGTCATTGAGTGACTTACAGCAATGTATAATTTTGCTATGCTCTTTCCTTTCTATGTGGGAGAACGGAAGGAAGGAAGTCACTCCCTTTAGTGTGGATGTAAGCCATTTCGACCACCTTCAGTGAATTCAATTAATTTCATGAATTATCTTTAAACATAATTTTTACTGTCGTTCATTCCTTTCAGGCACCAACCGGAATTTAACTCTCTATTTACACATATGCTAATGAAGAACGAAGTGAAGTTATTTTTCAAAAGAGGTATTTTATACGGGAAAACAAGTGAAGAAACAGTGACAGTAAAAAATTTGAAACAAACTTGGAAAAGATCCTCCTGATGAATGAGTTCATCGGAACTTGGAGAACCGGCAATAGCTTCGCCAACTTCAGCTTTCAACATCCACAGTTGGTACATTCCGACCATTTCGATTTTCTCACTCGATGAATAATCTTTTTTCCACGTTGTTTTCGGAGGCATTTTTGCTAATCTCAAAATTTGATCACACTCTTTCAACACATACATTTAAAGTATAGTAATAAGAAAAAGTAACTCCAAACCCCTTATCAGAAAACCAATGAACTGCCAATTCAGACGACGTACGCTCGAATTATATAAAGTGATAGAAGGCTACTTCGTGCTATGTTTGCTCGTAGCGTGGGTGGGCGTTGATGATTCATGGATCACAAGTCTGGGTCGAAGTTCGTGAGGCAAGGCTTATTTGAAAGCTCAGTCTTAAGTTTGATAAGCTTTGAAGTGCTAATTCTGTTCTCTGAGACATCGAAGCAATGTATCGAACTATGGTGACATAGCATGAATGAGAAGTGCAAGAGGTGGGCATTTGTGATTCAATCTTGGAAAGGAAAAGATTGATTAAACGTTTATATTTCTCATTAATTTTTTGCTTTTATATATTAATAACTAACGCATTGTTCAAGTAAATACCAAAAGCGTTATACTATTGTATGTTATTGTTACCGAAATACATAACATCTTTGATTTTCTGATATTCTTTTAAATATGATTTCAAAAATTGAAAATTAACTTTGCTTTGCTGTAGAACTGATCAAAAGTGGTTGATTCTGTCATATATTTAATTTTATTTCCTCAGAATTGCCAGTTGTTCTATTATTTGCACTCGATATGCACCCATTGCTTCCTTCCTATGACTTGCGCAAATTCAACCGGATAATATGAAAGAGTGGGTGCATTTCCTTATCGTTAATTTGTTTTAAATTTCAGGTTGAAAAGTGTCGTTGTTAAGTGCTTTTGTGAAACTTGTTCAAAAGGATTATCTTGCATGGAGAATGCAGTTACAGAAGTGACTATAGTTAGTGGCGTGTCCGAAAACAAATTTCTAAAGAGTTTTGAACCATACTTCGCGAATTTTAACCTTACACCGACAAAAATTAAACTTTGTAGGTTGCTTCATTAATTTTATTGATAATTTAAGAAGGTATCTATTGAGAAGCTTGTAACCCTACTCTTTACAATTTCACCAACGCATAGGCAACTATTAAAGTAAACTGGTGACCTATTTCTACATATGGAAGTATTTATTGTGCAGTTGCGCGATGTGGTTTATCACGGAATCAGTGTTTTTTAAAAAATGTTCTTATTTATTGTGATTTTATTGTTTCTTTCACTTCATTTCAAAATTACCTTTTTCTTCAAAACGGTCATGTGTTCATGTTGGAGGCCATCATTTTTGCACTTATAAATGCATTTTGTTATAAGTAACACATAAATGTCGTTGTCCTTGACTTCGTTTTAATTCTATTATTATTTAAGAGGATGAAATAGGAGACGTTTAGGCCGATTTCGGTGAAAATTAATTATTTTAATAAAAAATTAAAGCTATTATCAGACTCATTAAATGTTGATATCAGTCCCGTATTTATTCTCATTATTCAAACGTTTCTTTCGATTCAGAATGTTTTGCCACTTTGATAACATGATGTGGAATTTTCGAACTGATTCTGTCATTTTGTCATTTTACATCTGTCAATTGATCCCACGAACAAAAGGAATCCCCTTAAGTATTCCGAATTGCTAACTTTCTCACACATTTCTCAGTACTTTTTCATATGTATTGTTTTTGTAATATGAATGTTGTATAGATTTTTTTTGTGCATTGAATTACAAACAACCAGTAGTTGGAATCGTAATGTATAATAATTGAGCCGCAGTACTACTGATAGTTCCATCTTATTCATAGGAATATATCATACATTTGTCGAGGAATGCTCCCATATTGGAGGTTATCTTTCCATTTCATGTGGTCAAAAATTCTTCCACATCAGGGAACTATTCATTTAGTATTTGAGAACCTCGTTTCGTATTATTTTAATGATTGCGCTTGCATATTTAATTTAGATTACCATGAAATAAATCAAATAGTTGAGGATGAAACGGCAAATTCTTGGAAAAAAATTGTAATCACTTCGGTGCTTCTGAATTTTATACTCGTTATGAGTTAAAGATTTTCATTCTATCTTGTTATGTATTCACACGATCTTACATCTGTTCTAGGTTAAGTACACTGGATCAGTTTGATCTGATGAAGTTCGAAAAGTAACATATCTATTTCCTCATCAGTTATCAGAGAATTCTTGCTAAGCGTTTATCTCGCAAACAGCAAGTAGAAAATGATTCTGTGATTGTGAATACCGGCTGTCCATCTTTTTGCTTTTCGCATTTCGCACTGCCTCGGAAAAGATTTCTTTATTTTTCATCTTTTCAAATGTTTTAGTTGGCTTTTTTATTGCTTGACGATTGATCCTTTTGCAAATCTACCATTGATGAATTCGAAAAAAAAGGAAAAAGTGGGAAGAAAGATTTTTCATGGTTGTCATTCTTTATAGAAATAAAGTAAGTAGCCGTCTACCCCGTATTCCGTTGTGCCATTTGGATTACAATACATAAAATAGTCATAACTGATATGACTAATTAAGATTTACAATTTACTGTGTTTTCAAGATGTTGGTCCAAGACAATGTTATATATGCTGTGTTTTCAAGATGTTGGTCCAAAACAATTTTATGCACTTCCTTTGCTTCCTGGAAGGTGATAATTGTTATTTTTCTTTTATCTCCACACACGCTAGAAAATTTTTTTTAGTGAGCGCATTTGCACTTGGATCATTTTTTGGTTGTGCTCTACGGTCCTCATATCAACACACCAAAGGTCAACAGCTGAAAAATATTCGGAGTGGATTTGCGCTTGGAGTACGAGCACTCGGTATTGCCACAGTTTTATCGGTATCTGGTGTTGGTTTACTCATTCTCTCCATATCCGCAGCACTCCAAATTGATTTTCCGCAAGAATTCGGCCAGAAAATGATCAATTTGTGCGGCGACCGTTTTCGTATTGACAGAGGAGATAGCGTTACAACGTTTTCTGAGGTATTTTAATTTTCAGAATAATGTTTCATGATGCGTCTTTGTCATTATCACTAACTTGTTAACATTAAGACACTTTAATCAGATGTGCTGGACAAGGGTTTTGGAATCCCAAGAATCATACCACTTAAGAAAAAAGAATGTCAATTAATAATTAGAGAAGAAAAGATAAAAATAGAGTAAAGAGACGCAGGGTGGGATGCAAAAGGTGATAAAAAGCATCTAACAGTTCAAATGCATAGCGTGTGCCGCGGTTGAGTTGCTGTTTATTCCTCAGTTTGGTCTTTCTGCTATTGCAACAGGTCCTGTTATCCACTTCTCTTTTAATGTTATCATCATATCGCCATCATGATGATGAGAAATTTAGATGAGTAGACTGTTTAGTAGCAATGCTTCCAATATTTTCGAGAAGTACAGCAGTATAAAACCGACTAGAAAGGCTTGCTGTTATATAGCCGCAGTTTTTCGGTTTTAAAATCCAAATTCTGATTTGAATTCTCACATCTTTCGCTTATTTTTTTAAATCACAGTCCATCATAAGCTTCTTAAAACATCTGGTTATAACGGTGACAGACTGTTTTGAAAATCGAGATATTTTGTTCCTCCATTTCTGTTGGCAAAATCGCGACATAATAAATTACTTATATCACTTTGCGTCTAGTCTGTACAATTCAATATACAGATAACTCGATATTTAGAACTTTTTATGGGAATTCCATAATAGCACACTGGCACACACTAAGACATGCCATAGGAAGTTCATGAGCATTAAACAGTTTGCTGAAGGTTAGGATCACCTGGTCTTAAATGGTTAACAGATGACAAATTCTTGGTTCATTTGAGCTCGTAGGGCGTACCGCATCTGAAAATCCTAAATTCATAAACTGAGTTCTTTGCCATTTCAGATTCTTGAAACCGCAAGCAGTTCTAAAGAAGAAAGGTAAAGATAGCCAAACTTCACTGCCTGAATGATTCTTCCACTTTTTGGTTTCTGCACTGTTACATTTTTATTATTGCTTTCGCTATTATGTGATCGCGCAAAACGGCGAGGTTTACCAAGATGTCGGCGAGCACTGCTGGTTATCGCTCATCCTGACGATGAAACAATGTTTTTTACTCCAACTCTTCATGGCTTGCGACTTTCTGGATCAAATATTTATTTACTTTGCATTTCTACGGGTAATTCTAGTGGTCTGGGTGTAATACGTAAGTACGAGTTGGCTAGTGCTTTCACTGTTCATGGATTATCACTCGATAATCTAACCGTTCTGGATTATGATAATTTCCAAGATGGATTTATCCAGTGGTCCAAGGAACAGTTGGCTAAGGTAATCTTGAGGCATATTCAAATGCTAGATGTCGATCTGGTAATTACCTTTGATGAAGATGGTGTTAGTGCTCATCCGAATCATATTGGATGCTTTCGCGCATTGCAGTATCTTTACACAAATGGTTTGATTCCGGCGGGAGTGCAAGTAATCATTGAACTTTCATGTTTTTATTCTTGGGGTAAATGGAGTCTTACTGGAGCAGGTGAAATCCAAATACATGAAATTCAGTCTGATAATCAAGTGAATTTTTTTAAATATTGCAAAATAGTTGAAGTTGAGAAAGAGTTGTGCATGCTTTGCTTACAATTACTATCCCAATTCAAAAAGGAAACCACTGAATTAAATCAGATGATTTGAACCTGTTTTCGTAAGAGAACAATTCACTAAACGATTGTTCATTCCAAATAGTAAGTTATGCGAAAAGAAATTTATTAAATATATGACAATTTTTTTTAGATTTTTGTCTTGGAAAGTGTATCAGTTTGGAGGAAGTATATGATACTTTTGGATGCTTTGATCAGTTCCTTCCATTCAACATTTCTCTATATTTCTTCACCACTGTTATACATCACGGCTTGGCGCGCTATGTGGGCACATCGTTCTCAGCTGGTATGGTTTCGATATTTGTATATGCTGTTTAGTCGTTACATTCTCATTAATACATTAAAAAGGATACATGCGCAGCCAAGACATCCCGTACTTAAGAAGAAATTGCGTCTACATTGTTAATATTTGTCGTCATTTCCAAAGTTTACGTATTAAATTTGTTAACCAGTAAGCGGAAGTGGTGCCTATTTATTACGTTGTGAACTGTTGCCTCGTGTGTTGTATCAATTATTTACCATAGTGTGACAATTTTTAACTGTTTTGGATAAGTCCATTTTTTTTAACTTGCAAAAATCCGATTGTTGAGATTGCTTTTCTGATGGGTAAGAAAAGGCAGGAGTTTTTGAATTTCCAGAAATAAAAGTTCCAGAAAATTTTTTGTCGAATGAAACTGGAAATATAGTACTCTCATGAAGTATGTATATGCCAGAATATTTGAGAATTTAAAAACATGAAAAAATTCTTTATCTTGCTACAAGCTTAAAGGGATGCGGAGACTGATTGTCGAAATGTACTTAACAGTCTTTGGTAATTATTGAGCAGCGGATACCATAACGGTCATAAACTGATCAGCGTTTGCTCTTAGACGATAATGTAAACCAGTTTTGAAGTCATAATTCGTTTGCTGTTTAGAGCAAGGAATGAGATGCGTCACTGCGATGCTGAGCGCTTCATTTGTCCAGAGTTTACTTACAGTTTAGCTTTATCACTGATAAAAATGCAAGTGAAGTGTGAAGCATGAAATGAACACATCCGATAACAACATAAAAAGAGATAAAATATTAGATATTAACCCTACCACCAAGTTACTTGTGCAGGCAGTAGCAACTGTTACTAACCGGGAAAATTCAATAATGAGATAAATGTTGCCCACTGAATGTGAAATATCTTTATTCTCCGTGGAAACAGCTTTTCGTCGAAGTTATCCAACTGAGAATAAATAGTAACGGTATTATCCGTCTTCCTTTTGCAAAGGGGAGAATGTCGTCTTTAAGTAGATGGAAGAAAATTTTGCAGTATTTATTTCTCAAGAGTTGGATTCCAGTGTTGTTTCCAAAGATTTCTTGACAATATCATTACAAAGCAGTGAACCAAGCATAATGTTCTCACAGTGCACATGGACTTGTTTTGATTCCAGAGCAATCAATACCTGCTGCTTCTTGGATAACGTTTGCGCACAGAAATGAGCCTAGAGCAAAAGATTTTCAAGCAATTCTTGAAAAATTTGCTTTGAGTATGACTAAAAAAAGTCTATAATTAAGTACAATTACTACTTCAAAGAGCAGGTCAGGAAAGTGAGGTAGCACACTACGGCCCCAATTGACCGAACTTTAGTATTTAGCACACCAGGTAATTTAGCATTCATCTTAAGTTGAAAAACAAACTTCGGAACCGGTGACATTGGTGCAATTTGCAACAGCATATAATTGTTCTGGCCTCAAAGGTTCCTTCAAATTTCCACAGTGTTCGTTCATTCCACTCAGACGTAAAATTCCATTGATAAACTGTTCTTCTGTCATTGTTATTGGTTCAATTTGTTCGCCCATTGGAGCTTCAATGATGATGGTCACTTCGTTAGCATCTAATGCACTGATAACCCATTCAGATGCCCGCTTGCTATCACCAAAGTCAATGTAAACTTTCTCAACGATACTTTCACGGGGTGATAATCTGCCCACTTTGATTCGACCACTAGTTAACACTTGGTCTGTGGCCTGAAAAATATTCCTTACATTATGGAAGGGGAAAGAAAAAAAGGATATCTTAAAAGAAGAAAGTTCAAGCTGGTAAAATAGATTCCAACGAACCAAAAAATACATGAAAAAGATAAAGAGTTAACGAAGCTTTTCGGAAAATATAGAAACCGACTATATAATAATGAGAGACTTAAATTTGTTATGTATTATATGGGCTTATTTCGTAAAAAAATTGCATGCATGTGTCATGAGTGCTAAATGACGATCTGAATCACACGATAATATCATTTTGAAATTACCAGGAAATTAAAATTTAAAGTCTAACCTCAGTGATTGAAATCCACATGGGAATTACTTCCGAGGAATTCTGAAAAATATTGAACTAACCTTCGGGGATACTGTGATTTCTGCAGATGTAGTTTCCAAATTGTTTGTAAACCTAAATAAAACAGCGCACATTGACGATGATATTGGTGATGTTTCACGCGGAAAACAAATATCTATACCGATCCCTGTGGACCACATTGTATGATTCATAAGTGGCGTAAACGACGTTTTAACCAATTTCGGTCCCACGACACAGTTGTTACCAAGAATCGGTGCCAGTTCAAAATTTAAATCCAATAAAAGATCAAGATTTTCAGACCTGGAAAATGCGAAATTTTTCATTGAACTTCAAAAGAGGAAGTTGAAGTGAATAAAATTTATATTCTGTGGTAGTTTAATTACACTTCATATTTTTTGTAAGTAAATACGTAAGTATATAAAAGTGTAAGTAAGAAAATATTCTTTGTAAATAACTCCATAATTACAATAACCTACATTTTAGGCTCAGCTACTGCGAGTTCCTCCTCGCTCCCATCACTTCTACTTTCCTCCTTGTTTTCTTCGTTACCATCATCATTTTCATTCTCCTCCTCATCACTTTCATCTCGGTCCTGAAAAATTTTTCAAACTCATCACCTCAACGATTACAACTGCAAAACAAATTATTGAAATTCATAGCTATAGTTACGGTATTAATGTTTAATATTTGTCAATGTCCCAGCTGTTATTCCAGTTGAAGTTTGCACTGAGTTAAATCAACAGATCCATTCCCCACATTTGCTTTTGATTCAGTTTATTCCCATATGTTACACAATTACATGCCTCCTCCTCATCACTTTCTTCTTTCTCACTCTGTTCATCATCCGAATAAAAATCTTCCTCTTCACTTTCATCGTCTTCGGTTTCATGAATAACTCGCATATCATCATTTATTTCTTCTATTTGATTTGTATTTCGCACAGATGGATCAGGAGCAATCTCCGGAAATTGTGGTAAATCGCGATATCGTCTACAACGTTGATTGAGGAAGTGTGACAAGCTACCCAGTTGGAATTGCTCGCGATCTAGAATTATATACAAAAATTAACTATAAGAACAAAAGAAACACCAAATCTTTTCTTATATTCCTTATTTTCTTCTCTTCCCTTTACCGTATCAAATTCTTCAAAACCTTTCGTCTTAAAAATCTTCCCGCTCATTTGAACGGACACTCTTCTTTTCAATACCTTACCTTTGCCGTATAAATAAAAAAGATAATGATAAAGATTCAGCTTTTGGAACAGAAAATTAATATTCATCATCAAATAATCGTTTTGTGAGAATTTTACGCCTCGAAAAAATTTATGTATTATATTATAAATAATTCCGATAATTAGTCATCCAGCTTTCTGACTTTTAAAAGCAACGAAATTTTTAAATCATTAGCTAGACTACTGCTGGGTTTTTTGAGGCTTTCCTTCCGCCCGCAAANGAAAAAATTTATGTATTATATTATAAATAATTCCGATAATTAGTCATCCAGCTTTCTGACTTTTAAAAGCAACGAAATTTTTAAATCATTAGCTAGACTACTGCTGGGTTTTTTGAGGCTTTCCTTCCGCCCGCAAATAAACTTCGACTTCAAATTTTAAATTTATTTAAAGCTCACCTTTGAAGGTGCTTTGTGTAGTTGGTGATGGTTTCTCGGTAATAAATACTTCATTAGCAAATGCAAATAATTTATTATCGCCGAAGAGAAGATTTCGTAAAAAACGACATTTATCCCGAATATCATAACTTTGGTCGAACCGAGCCAACTGCATTACATGTCGAACTAGTAGTTCACATTTTTGACGATTTGTAAACCATAGCTTTGCTGCTAAGTTCATTGTTTGCAGCTTTACCATCTCATCGTCATGAGTGAAACTTTTAATCATTTTGCGCAAGACATCTGGTGCTAAGGTTGGGACCTAGAAAACGCAATAAATGGCATGGAATTTTCAGAAATCTGAACTTCCGTTTGTATATGGCATATTTTCTTACAAGTTTCAGAGGGCTGTCATGCTAAAAGTTTTGCACTAGCAGAAACGCCCTTGGTAATTCCTATCAACAAGTATGATGAGAAGATTCATTTCATTTGTGAATTATCTTAAACCATTCTCGTACACTGTTGACCTGAAATCACACACCATGCATATTCCCCAAAAATACAATACATTATTGTACTGCGCTCCAGTAAATATCCCAGTTTAATCCATTCAAAATTAAAGTGCTAAAGAAATTACACCATCACTCTTCACAGTAATTTTATTGGACGCACTTACTTTATCAACATGTGTACCAACAAGCCAAATCACACATGCCCGAGCTTGTGGTGCTTTGACAGAATCAATAAGACGAAGTACACGTGTAAGTAATTGCAAAGGCGGATTTGTATGCAGTAATCTGCAAAAATGTTAAATTAAACTGTATGGAAATGTAAAGGTACTGGCGACGAATTGTATTTTAATAAAGCAAACTTCCGAAAAAGCCAAGAACTACAAGTTTATACCTAACAGTAATTCCTCTGATTGTTCGGCATCCCGCTGTAAAAATTTTGGAGACTAGCAACACTAATTGCGGATCAGTATGTAGAACGAAAGAGGCTTTCCTTACACAATTGTTTCTTATAACAAAGGATTAAATCGATTTGTTATCAGCAAGGCGTATAAAAAGAAAGACCTTTTTAAAACAACAACAGCAGCAGAAACAACATTTTCGTTCGATGAAGCAATTAGAGATACTAATCCGGATAGACATGATTTGGCAACGGAATTAACACGAATAGCACACTGTCCTATTGCTTCTACAGCAGCATCTGCCATTTCTGCCATACCAATGTAGGTCTAAAATTCTCGGAAAGTAAAATCTTATCTGTTTAGATATCAAATCTTAATAACAGTGAGCACCACTTTTACTCCGCCAATGGACTGAGTGATAAGAGGTCAAAGAAGTATGTAAGCCATTTTATACCTGTAATTCACGAAGAACAAGCTGCACATTTGTTTCTGAGACCAGTGAGGTCAACACTTGCAGTTTCAGCAATTTGATATGCTTTGGTTCCGCAGGGCGTACGAAGAAACTTTTCAGAAATGATTCGAACATATTCTGCAAGGAAGTAACACAAATAGCTAACCGTAATGTAAGCAAAATATATTAGAATAGAGAGAAATTTTCGAACGAAGTTTGAAACTAACTAATGCAAAGTTGCTATGTTTAAATTTAAGCAATAAGTCTATGAATAATTTCGGTAATCACCAATAATCATGAATAACAAATGGGATACATAGAAATATTAACTTTCTTGCAGAAAGTTAATATTCCTATGTATCCCATTTGATGATTACCGAAATTATTCATAGACTTATTGCTTAAATTGATGATAACACCTCATTTTCTGCAAGAAAAAAACCAGAAACTATTTCATATTAAAAGCATTTCTATTTCAAAGTTGGATCTGCTAGCATTCCGTGCGTAAACAAAATAAATAGTTAATCTCAGCACCAAAAACACTGCGATGATAACACCTCATTTAACATGTGGTTATTAAAAAAGATATAAAACTAGGGATTTGTAATAAATTAAGCGATAATTAGATAATTGGCACTGCAAACCACTTAAGAATGAACAAAAAAGCCAAAATCAGGTTTACCTTTTACCGGATGTAAAAGAAAAACCGAAAAGGAAAAACAACGATTAAGGAAAACTAAAAAAATTTGCGCGCTATCTGGCACACATCACCTGCTTCGCATTTTACATAAATCCTACATAAATTTTTCTATTAATCATACATTGCTTATAGCAAAATTAGGTAGCCCAAGTACCGGATTGGTTGCGCAAATCGTTGCAATGTTGACAAGTACAACACTCTGCACTTCACGCGGGCCACGTAATAGCCGGACAAGCGCGCGTGAGATAATTGGTAGTTGTAACAATGGTGCGCAGTGATAAAATAACTGGGCAACAGCCATAACTACAGCGTAGTTTTGGCTCTGCAGTAGTGGACGACATGATGAAAGGAGAAGCGTGAGATCTGGATCAACTGCTTTTGTCGGCGCAATAAACTGACTGCGTGCATAACGAGTCAATAATCCAATCATTACCACCTGTCCCCACTCATCCACATCGACTATAGCCTGAATTTTATTCATGAGATAAACTTCACATATATATATATTATATATATATATATGACTGAATGCTCTTTGTAAGGTAATAGCTCATATTGTTCACGATGCCATTATTACGCCGAAACATTCCATGTCCCTCTAAACTAACTTTTCATAAGTTTGTAATAAAATGAAACAAAATTTCACTGGGAAAGATTTCCCGCATCATTTCAATCATTAAAAGAGCACCTTACACAAAGTGCGGTAATGTCTGTGAAGCAAATCAAATCGATCCGGACAAGTTTCCTCAAAAGCGTATACCGCACTGCCAAGTACAAGAGTACGCTTATCACCGAGAAGATAATCAATACATTCAATCAGTTCTGTTTGTAAATTTTCCTCAAGTGAAAAGAGTTTCGGTATTGCATGTGCGGCCACCTGAAAAAATTGTATATTGAAGCGAGCTGCTACAGAAAATTAAAATGAAAACAATTTAGAAGAGAAATGCTCTGAGAAAGAACTATCGTGGAAATTTCTAACTTTTCGAACATAAGCAGACATGTCACGGACAGATTCACGTATAGCCAGCAACATTACTGGAGCAATCATAGGTACTCGGATGCTTGAAAGAACACGCAGAGCGCTTGCACGAATAAGTTGATTAGGATCCTGAAATAAAGCGAAAACTTAACAACAGAATAAAATGCCACGGTTTCGTTGCAATCCAGTGTATTCTGGAGATACTAAAGTAGCTTCTGAACAAACTCTTTCAAACAAACAAGCTCTTTCAGGTGTTCGTTTTCCAAAGTTAAAACTTACTTTCAACGCGCGTTGAAAAGTGCTGATTGAAAGAAGTGCCAAATCTTGCTGTTCTTCGGCATACCTCACCAGATAAACGAAAACCAATTTCTTTAACTGTAAGAACTTTGATTAACCCAAATAACATGCAAATATTTCAAGAAATTTAAGAAAATACATTAGTGACCAAATTTATCTCCAAATTTAAATTTCATACAGCAAACCTCAAGATTTTTAGCAGCGACATTTTTAACAACTGCAGGAAACAGTTCCGATGCATCACGTCCTTTCGCTACCAGCTTAACAAATATATCATGCAATCAAGTATAACTTTTATGACTACAAAACTTAGTCTTCCAGCTTAGTTCTGGGCTTTATATTGACAAGAATTTGCTCTCTTTTGAAGTTGCAAATGTTGAAGAAAAAGACTCTTTTGGCTATGATAGTGAGTGCATTTCGTATTGAAATAGGAAATCTAGCAGGTATCTACAATACATCTTTCCTAAAATTACAAACTTTAATTATATAAGCTTACATTTATGATTCGTTTCATAGCATCCATTTTCAAGTTATCTTTCGAGCTATCTAACATTGCTTTCAGATCGGCAAAACGACTGAAATTATAAATCAGATACTATTTCTCGCTATGAATCAATCATTTATTCTCCCTGACCTGAATTCATAAATTCTGAATCACTGTTTGTTTCAAACATTAAAAACCAACGTTTTGCTGTCTACGATAACACCTCCTTCTGCAATTTCCACTTCGGGGCTTGTTAATCCCTCACCAAAACTTCTCATCCTCTTCGATTGTTTATATCTTACAGTTTAAATAATGTTATCTTTCAATGGTCGAAAATACATTCTGCTTTGTGCTATTATACCTAAAAATAAAACAATTCACGAACACCGAGTACAAAAAGAATTAACTCTTTTGGTCAGATTTAATTACGTCAACACTGTGTTTTAGGGTTGAAGTTTATTACGATTTATTTACTATGAAATTTATGCGAACTTGCTACTTCATCATTTTTATATCGTCGAATTATCATTTGGGGAACTATTCTATCATATACCAAATATCTTTCCTTTATTCAGTTTGACCAAGTTACAATGGTAACACACGAAAAAGAAGAAACGTGTAGAGGGATTTTTTCAGATGACAAGTTTGAATTTCCGAAAAAAACTTATGAATACAGAATAAGGATAAGTAGATAATATGTATCTTTTTCAAAGTGACCGGTAGTTAATGACTACATTCTTTCAATAGTAGAAACAATGGACGAACGATGAACCTTGGATGACTGCAATGGCTTACAAGCAAATCGATCCTAGCATGGACTCCCTGGTCTGGACAACACATATATCCATCCCGATCCTGCTGATGGTATAGCATGTCAGAGAAACTTGATACAACATATTCTGTTAAGACAGTTCCGGTATCTCCAAAATTACAGTCAGTTCTGCTCGATATTATGGAAGCCCCGCCCTGACCTTCCTCCTCCTCTCCACCCCTGCCGCTCCGGAAAGTTCTGAAACCAATATTTTCATTAAGATCCTGTTGAATTAAGAGCAGATCCGGGTTGATGTGAACTCGTCGAATTAGGACTGGAGCTAGAGAGAGTTGGTGCGGAATTTGGATCTTGTCGGGAGGGGGAGTAGTCTTGCCATACTCCGATAAATTAGTTAGTAACAAATGAAATTATATGATAGAAAACAAGAAAAGCATGATATGGAAGGCTTTATGTAGCTATTTGAGGCTTAGACGGAGAGAAGAATGCGGAATTTATGAATATTTGCATTTATTTATTAATGCTTCGCCCTGAGATATGAATGCGATAATATAGGAAAGGTATTTTTATCATCATGTAATTGTGATCGGTAATATTTTAGATTGTATTAATCTAAAAGTTGGACGAAATGAAGGCTAATGACAGATCAGTTGCGAGTATGAGACCTGCAAAAAGTTTTAACGACAATCAGGTTTGAAGTGTAACATGAAGATGATAACTGCATAATATTTATTTAGATATGCATAATATTCATTTGGATAGAAAAATAGAACGCAGGACTCTCTTTTAATTCGGTGAAGTCGAGTGTACAAATAAAGCTTTTGTTTACATCGATGTCATTTATATATGTTTCTTTAATTTCCATAAGTTTGGAGTACGTATTTTTCATGTGATTAATCTTAGTATTACGACTTCAGGCCCCGATCAACAGTTTGGATTTTAGTGCAGATGGTTTACAAATGATTTCATCTTCCGATGATGATTCAATTATTATGTACGATTGTATTAGTGGACAAAAAAGTCGTTCGGTAATATCTTTGTGGTAGTAAGATTGTATGAGTTGTATGTAGAAAGTATTTCTCCTTGATTTTTGTATCGTAAATTTGGAAATTAGCTCGCTGAGTTTCCAATGAAGTGC